TCACTTAAACTCTTGGGAAGAAACCTAGACAGCTCTCTTTAAACATGTTCCGTGCACCTCTGACTGAGTTTCAGTATGCAGAGTCTGTTCCTTCCTCTGCCTTCGGTTCAATTGTAACCTCAAGATGGTCTCTTGATCTTTGTGCCTTAGTTTTCCCCAATTAAGGAAAGTAAATGAGAGACCTTCTTTATCCTGCTCTTCAGAGGATTCAACTCATCAGTTTGCACTAAGAGATGCCTGGCGTCTACCCATGGGCCTGGTTTGCAGAAGTCTTGTAAAGTCCATGGCTGGGTAAAAGCAGAGGTCAATATGTTGTGATATAGGAGAAGCACAGGGACATCTGATACACTGCTACTAAATTCAAATACCTCGTGAAATAAATGTTGAGTATTACATTAACAAAAAAGGAAGGCTAAGGAGAGACTTAGGTAAAGCAATCTGCTTGCACCAGTACCCACAGCACTCTTCTTCCTCATCTTTTCTCCCAAAATTCAGAGTTATTGAGAGCAGGGATCTGCACAAAGCATGTGGAGAAACAAAATACACTGGACAAGACATATTGCACCTGGGTCATTTCCAGAAAGGAGGAGGGGGAAGCATTCTGAGAAGCAGGAGTGAGATTGAGGGGTTGATCTCTGTTGTTGAAGTGGGGTCAATACTTCCAACACTCACTCTTTGGCCCTGCTCAAAGCCTGTCAGTCCAGTGCATGCTCACAGATACCTGGAGACCCAAGATCATACACCAGCAAAGTCTTGTTTCCAACTGAGCAACTGCAGCAACAGCAGAAATGAAAGCTACCATCAGGAAGAATATTGTCTTTTACAGGCCCGCAAGCATAAGCTGAGCTCCAAAAAGAGCAAGCCTTGGGTAGGAGTCTGAAGCTGCCTGCTGTGTGCCAGGAAGGAGATGGCTGTATTTAGATACAGTTTGCCAGGAAGGAGTAGATAAGAGTGCACTGATCTTTATTACTTGATAAGCATTTTATCATATAGAGCTTTGAGCAAAACCAGGTAGTTGGGAGAACCTGCTGAACTGCTGTTCATTCATGCATTTATCATTAAAATGAGTAACACAGCGCAATTGCTTTGTCTCATGTTTTGCTAGTGTGAACACCAGGGGCTGCTCACAGCAAAAAGTGTCCATTGAAAAAGAAAAGCTTGGGAACCATAAACACAGAGATGGTTTGAAATCTTCTTATCCTAGCAGATTAATATGGGACATAAGCCAATGCCACATGCAATTTAGGCATTCTTCACACAAAGCCACTTGAATAAAACTATATTGTAAAGACTGCACGAGCATAACATGGAACCAGGGAAATTAGAGTTTCCCTCTGTAATCTGACTACCCAGGTCCAGTTTCCTCCACAATAAATATTTACTCTGTTGGTAGGGGAAGGCGTAGGAGACAGAAGGTGAACCTAGATTCTTTACTAACAAGATGCCTAATGTCTTTGTGGGCATCTTGTCACATCTCATGATTTAGCTAGTTTTTGGACAGCTAAGAAGGTGTGCTTAATAGCTCCTCTTTCACTTTAAGAGAGTCATGTCTTACGCAGGTTAGACAGCTCTAAAGAAGTGGACTGAAAGTTTTGCTTTCATCCTTGTATTTTTCTATAGCAAGCATGAAACACTCTATTTGTATTTGGAAGTGTACAACATGTCCTGTTGATCTCAGATCTCTGTTTGTCATTAAACAAAGAGTAGCGGCAACTAAACTTTCTGGCCCGTAAGCACATTTCTCTTCTAAATGTTGCCAGAAGACTGCTGGAAAAGCAGGGAAGAGCAAGCAACATTGACACCTACCGTTGGATACTTTAATTGCCTATAGTGCCCTGTCCTCAAAGCATTTATTTCTATTTGTAGCAGGAAGCAGGCATGGGAGGCTCTGGAAAAAATCCATGACAGCTCTACATGGGGCAAAAAAAAGAGCTTTTAGGCTTACTGTTTTCATCTTGCAATGGAGTATTGCCCATTTAGTCTTGGAAGATATTTGTATGAGTCTTGACTATGGCCATGGCACCACCTCCTCCATCAGCCCACCTCCCAGCAGCTTCTCACTTCTTGTCTCACTCTGCAAGACTTCACTGGTGCCCTGAATCTGCAGGGTTTAATTCCTTTTTCACCAGCATGGTGAGGAAGCATTTGCAGAGTGATTCTCTCCCAGTGTCTAAACTGGCTTGTAATACACTGTCATCTAGAAGAGCCTGTACTGAGGGGCTGTCACAGCTTCCAGAAGTGCCTTACAATGGCAGAGTCCAAGGTATACCGTTTTACCTTTCTAAAGAGAAGTCACAGATCTCAGACTTCTGTATCACAGGAAATGGATTTCTGCTTCACCCAGCCTCTGACTTTACCAGATTTTTCCAAACCAGGAGGAAGATGCTCTCCTTAGTCAAAAACTACATTCTATTACAGTTGTGCTTTTATTTTGTCTTCTGCAATGCTTTCAGGGAGCATTTAATTGCTAATCTAGAATCTATATGTGCAGAAACCCCTTTTTCTTTAACTCTGCTTCTTCCTTCCTTTAATTCATGTAATCAGGTGATCCCTTGGCAGTGATAATCTCTTATGAGGCTAGCAAGAATGAGACAGAACTGAATACTAATGTTGCTGGTATCAGGCAAGGTTGTACCATATGTTAAATGATAGAACATGCTGATTTCTCAGGAGATTAAACCCTTCTAGCTCATAGCAAACTGAGTTTCAATACAGAACTCCCAGAGCATATCCCATATCAGAAACCACTCCCCAGCCAAGAACAGAGCATAGATTTTAAAGAGAAAGTTCATCATATCTTACCATAGTGGCAGATCATATTTAATACCCTCAAAGTGCTTCACACCAAGAAATTGGCATCATGATTTCCCTCATTCATTGCCTTTTTTTTCCCCAAGAGCATTAAAGAGAATTTAAGCACAGAACTAAAATACTCCCCAAGTGACTAGAGAAAAGTTTGGCAAGCTGGCTGAGAGAGCTTAGCCCTATGTCTTCCTTCCTATTATTGCCTTTCTCTTCACCAGAAACTTTCAGCAGACTAGCTCCCACCGGCTTTCCACAATTCTGAGTTGTTTCTCTTATTCATACTGCCTTTCTGTGAAAACAGATGAAGACGGAAATATTTAAAGCTAGAAACCTAACCCTATTTAAAGAGAAGAAAAATCTGACAAGGTAGAATATAGCAATTCCTATACTTCCTCATAGGGTAAGCCCTCTCTGCCAAAAGTGAAGTCATACTAACTTCCCTTAACAGCCTGCATGGAAAAAAAGAGAAAACGAAAGGCACACGAGGTGCTTTTGAAGCTCCAGTTACCTCACAACTACCTTCTCCACCAATAGCTGCTGAGATACTTTCTGCTCCGCAGTTCTCCTTGCACTTGGGAGAGGAAGCTTGCAGCCTTTCACACGTGCCCTGCATGAGGCTCCTGGCCAGCACTGCAAGTACACACCTGTATGTACACCCCCACAGGCATCAGGGGAGCAGTGAAAGGTTGAGTAAATACAAGCTGAAGTTACACAAGCCTAACAGAAATCTATCTGGGCACTACTGCAATGTAAACAGCAAAAAAAAGTACCATAGAAGACTGCACGGAAAGATTGGAAGAGCTAACTGAGGCTCAGAAGACATACATTCATTATCCTGTTCCTCCAGTAGATGCCCTCCAAACCAAAGACTTACGGGTCAGGAGCATGGACTGCCTCAGCAAAGAGGACACTGAGACAAGAGACGAATGTTGGGCAACACAGAAACCTCTTGGTTTGGGAAACAGCGGAGCAAGGAGAAGGGAATAAGTGCAGTAGCAAACGCAACCTAAATGATGCTCTGTCCTTGGGCTCCCCCTCGTAGTGCTTGGCCTCTGAGAAATAACACTCCCTCAAGAAGATTCTCTTCACTTCACTGAAGTGACACCAGTCTTAAATGGCATCGGCAAAAGACAACTCAGATCACAAACCTGGATCCAAAGAGATGGTCTGCCTGCAGTAAGTGCGTCCATATTGCCGTCCTTGGAAAGCCCACTTCTGAGAGTCTAAACTCTGTTCAGTCCTTCCTCAACAACTGCCATAGGTGGGAAGTGCAGAAGCTGAGGAAAAACCTTCTATATATGTCTTCTGAGGCCAACGGCCTCTATCCAGATCCATCTAGCAAGAGCAGCTTCTACAACTGCAATAACAGTGAAACCTACCTGGAGCGTTGCCAGACCGGCCTCGTCTTTGATACCAGCTGCTCCTGCTGCAACTGGGCATGAAGATATCAATTCTAGAACAGCAAACAGTCCCCTCTAACCTATTTGCAAGGAATAGTAAAGGTGAAATAAAGTGTTCTCCAACAGCAACAATCCTCTCTGCTTGGACTCATCTCACTCTTAATATTCTGATGCTCCCTGATTCTCTCTTGCAACTTACACCGCTGCTCAGGAAAGGGCAGAAATCCACAAGCTGGACTTCAAACAGCCCCACACTGGCATTTGCCAGGGTTTCTCGCTGTCCCAGGATGCCGGCCAGGCAGAGGGAAAAGTAGGGGAGGAGGGAATGGGGACTATCAGGCTGTGCCATAGGAGAGCACACAGAGAAGGGTCCTGGCAGCACAACCAAAAGGCTGGCTCTCCAGAGAGCTGTGGCCCCTACGACTCACACCCATGCAAACGGCAGCTCCTGGGTGCAGGAGCCAGCACACCCAGGCAAGCCTCCCAGATGGTGTGGAGGTTGTTTCAAACTGTTGCAAACACATGCTGTTTCACACGCTGTTTCAAGCACGTGCACACAGAGCCCTGTCCCATCCCATCCTATCCCTTTCCAGGGACTCCACGTAAGAGAGCGCAGCTCTCTGGGCCCTTGGCAGGATGGTCCCCCTCTGGGAAACACCAATCCACAGGGCTTTTATCAATCCTCCTCTTTTTCATGTAGCTCTCAGGAGCTGCAATTGCCAGCATTCCCTTCAGCAGTGTATCCACCCCTGCCGTGTCTATAGCAACTGGAGTACACACATAGCCTGACGCGTCCGCGCGTGCACACCGGCAGCATGATCGGCGAGTGGGAGCTGACAGGTGAGCCGTGCAAGGCACACGCTGACGGGGGCTACGGGCAGGAGGGCCTTCCCTCTCACGCAGCTCCCTGTAGGCATCAGGCTCCCCCAACTATCTGCCCCCCCAACCGGGCCTCAAGGCACCTCTTTGCTCAGCCTGGGAACAAAGAAGCCTTTGTGGCAGAAAGGAACAGCCATCCAAAGGACAGACCCCTCATAAATAACCATGGGCAGGGGAAATGACCAGCTGGGAAACAGGGGGATGCTTGGCCTCAGGAAGAAGAGGATACTTTGAAATGAAGAGAAGCAGCAAGATGTTGTCTCTCCATGGGTGAATCATACTGGTGGCGTTTCCCTCTCCCTGCCTCACAGGTGTTCAGAAGCAGATCTCCTTTGGGTCATGTCAAAAACGGAAATTGTTCCCTCTCCACCATGCCCCAGACAGGCTTGGGATCCAGCTGGTACCTATCAGAGGAGACCCTTGGCTCGGGCCAGGCCGTTATCAGAATCACAAGGTGAGTTTTTCAGCTTTCATGCTCAGAGCTTTTCCTTCACAACAGACATAGAGTATAGGAGCAATAAGACCATGGTGAGCCAGACATGGCATCCCCAACGCCTGTCCTGCAAAGCCATTGTACAAGATCTATGCAGATACCTAGGAAAAGATGTTCCTCTCCTGAAAAAGTTACAACGGGATGTACCACTCTTAAAAGCTCTAATTTGTGAGAAATTAGAGGGAATGACCTCTTCTGCTGCTCTAAAACTTCTGGCCTTCCCCTGATGCAAATGGTGTCTTTAAAATGTCAGTAAGATGTTTCTGCTTTTGAACTACAGAAAAGCAGCCTGGTATACTCCTTGGCTCACAAGCCACAAAGCAAGAAAGGCTACGTGATAGGAGCAAGAACAGCCCAACGTTTCATACCAGAGCCACAGGTAAGAAAAACACCCCTCAGAGCAGCAGAGCCACAGCTTTATAAGAATTTGTAGTCTGTTCCCACCATAGACTACCAGTTTCGATCGCATTTGCTCAGGGTGCAAGTCACTCGTGCACAATACTTGAGCTCCACGCATTGCTTCAGTTCCACCTGAGAAAGAGAACTGAAATGATGCAGCAGCCCTGTGGGGACTAGAAAACTCCCTCAAGAGTCTTCCAGCCCCTGCAGACATCAGCTGCTCCTGCTTTTTGTTCTCACTTTCATTGGTCATGAGCCTTTTGTGCAGAAAGACTCTGCTCCAGAACGAGAGTGAGTTGGAAAACCAGTCCTCTTTTCAGTATCTGTGGCTCTAGCAGACAAGCAAACATAGACCAAACGTATGGCAATCATAGATCTCCCTACACATAATCCAGGGGCAGGTAAATTCCTGTGCTGAGCCTAGACACTGTTGACTGCTCATATGAGCTCTGGCAACATATACAGAGGCATATACATATTCCTTTACATCTCAAACACACACACATGAACATATTGAGGCAAAATCAGGGAGAGAGCACAGCTTTGTTGCCTGACCAGCGCAGTATGTTTTCTGGCCTAACTTCTGTAGAATAACAGTATACTGGGAGAGACATCAGAGGATTCATTGGGTACGCAGTAGTGAGTGCATATTTGACTTGTTCTGCTGTTTTTACACTAGCAGAGTAGCCGGAGCATTGAACAGCAGTTCTGTAATATCCAGCTGGCTGCTGATCAGACCACTTAGGAATGTTTTGCAGAACATAAAACCTTCTGCATTGACATTTTCTCTCTTACAGACTGTGACTCCTGGCCCAGGAATGTACCAGTCATGGTGGAAGAAAGAGAGAAAATGCCAGCCTGCCTATGCCCCATTTTCCATTAAGTCACCACGATTTCCAGATAAGCCTTTGGAAAGAGAATTTTTCCCTGGGTAACATAACTCATTTTCTTACAGCTTTAGTAACTAGCAGGAGTACTAGCAGAGACAAATACTAAGGCACAAACAGGAGATAGGCAACGGCGTTCCCAATAATCCTTTGTACGTTTGAAAAGCTCTCCTGCGAGTACGCGGTTTAGTCTTTCACCTAGCATGATGACTAGAAGACCACAACATGCATTTCTCCCATGGATCAAGGTAGGACCGATAAATTAGCATACGGCAAACATCGTACTCCAGTTCTAGAAATGAGATATTGCGCCTATTTTTTTTCAGACCTGGAAGTTATGAAGCAGACAAGCTATTACACAAAAAAATCACCTGGCCGATGAAGTTTGGGTCTCCAGACTGGTCTTTAGTGCCAATGCCAGTGAAGAGGACGCTAAGAGGAGAGGTACCGAACGCATGGGCAGGGATGAGGGGATGGGATTCCCTGCAGAATACTGCTGACACAGGAAATGGGATGACTGCTTAAAAGCATTTGCACTATCTTTTGTCATCTTTTCCTCACTGTCCTGCTGGGTACGTGGCTGCACTACCCTGGGACACCAGCTACAAGGGGATTTTCTATCAGATATACCCCTCTGCCGACACTAAATTTTGTGAAAATGGCTACAGTCCTTCAAAAAGACTTCTATCAAGAAGTTTGCTCTAGGAGTAAGATTCCAGCCAAAACGTGAGACCCCGAGCACAGACTTCCCTGTGCGGCTCTCCTGAAAGGAAAACGTTCCCAATGTAAAATATCGGTTAATGGGTAGGAAAGCTATTTCCTACTGACTCCCGGCAGACAGTGCGTTGAGGAACGTCTAATGGATATTAGTTTTCTTTCAGCTGATCTCGGACAGGGAATTCAGGAAGCACCTGAACCGGATGGCCTACCTGAGTTTATACTACGGCTGAGCCGTCCAGGCCGCCGCAACGTCCCCCTTCCCCGCTCCGGCGGGAGCCCCCGGCCCCTTTCCGGTTTCCTCGCTCTTCTGGAAACATCTACCCGCCTTACTCTGCCTCCCAAAATAAAAGAGCTTCAAAAAGAGGCGTTTGCTGTTTCGATCTGTGCTGATCTGGTATCATGTCATCTGTTTATAAATAAAGCGGCTAGGAAGGAAGGGGAGAGCGGCCTCTCTGCCTACTTGGGGAGCTGGCGGGCTTTCGAAGGAGGGTGCCTCAGCCCCCGGCCTGGCTCCGTGGCCGCCATCTTCTCCGCATCGCCGTGGAAACGCCTGGCAGCGCTGCCCTCACCAAAATGGCTCCCCCTTCCCTGCCCCACTGCCCC